TCTATTAAACAAACAGTAAGAACCTAAAATGTACCTCCTGTGTGCAGTCCCTTAGTTCTTTAAAGAGTTTTAAAGACTAACATATTTAAGCTTAGTGTGGCAGCTTATGCCTATCATCCCAGCACTATGGAAGCTGAGACATGAGGATCAAAGCAAGCTGAAGGATGTCCTGGGTCTACATATTGAGTACCAGGTTACTGTGAACTACGCAGCAAGCTTTAAACAATCAGTGAAATAAATAGGTGTAACTAAGACAAAACACTTTATTTCAGATGGCAATGTGGATTTTGACAGAAAGATTTCTCTGTTATAAATCCAATTATATGCTAAAAGTTACTGGAAATTAACTGCTTATAAATGAGTATAATTTGGACAAAGTGTTGTACTAACTACCAAAACCAAGTACTTTATTTCCAGGCCAAATAGAAAAAACATTCTTGTATTAGATATAAATTTAAAATAATTATCATGTGTATATTATTTCCTAAATGGTTTTATGCCAGAGCTTGGGGAATCACTTAAATTTTCTCCTTAATACATTAATTATTCAGCAGGCAACACAATGCAGCTCATACTGTCCTGAAGCAGGCAGAGTCCTGAGGTGTGTCCCCAAAGACACAGAGCAGCAGTGAGGGGTCAGGCACTGGCATCAGAGCTCTTAAAAAAAAAAAAAATTCCAAATTACAAGTGTGTGTGTGCACACAAGGCCTGAAGCCCACAGAGGATCTGGCCTGAGCTGGAGTTCCAGGGTTGCTGGGAACTGAACTCCTCTGGAGGAGCAGTACAGGCTCTCAACTGCTGAGGCATCCCTCCAGCCCAAGGTCAGCACTCTAGAAAAAGCACAAACTGCTTCCTTAGAGGGAAGGCAGCTTTGCTGTACGCCATCTCTTTCATCGCTGACTTAAAACCTCATCACTGCAGCATTTTAAGATCAGCTCCTGAAATGAAGAGGTGCAGAGGAAGAGCGAATACCCCACAGTTCCTTAACCAGGGCCAACTTGTTCTGACGTGAACCTCGAGTACAGTATACCTACCACAGAGCCTTCATGAAGACGGTAATCCTAGGCTTCATGGTGGAGCCTCAGACTTCACTGTCGTGCTGTCTTGTTTTATCTGTTCTACCAAATCCTTCAGTTTCTCCTAAGCATCACTCTCATTTTTCAACTTCAATGGGCTTTCTCCACTACTTCCTGTCTGTACAATGGGAACATGCTTAGTGCCTTGCTTCTAGAATTAGCCCTGAGATAATTTTCCTGTGTTTCCTTTATAACTTAGAAATTACTCAATAATAGCCCCCAAACTTTAAGGATTTATAAAGAAATTTCACCAAATCTGTTAAGACTTTCCTTTTAAAGTCATTGTTAATTTTAATTTGCTCCCTTTCTGTGAACATTAAATCTGATTTTTCTTAACTTGGGAGCCCTGGAAGTCCACCCTTCACACATGCACTAGTACCTGGCACTTCTTATCTAGGCATGGTGGTTTCCATTCAACCTGACCAAAGTCTGGGTGCCTGGAAACTGAACAGGATTCTAAAAAAAGGAAACCAAAAGTCACAACGGTTTGGGAGCCTAGTCCCTAACACCTGCAGCACCACCAGCTGAAAAGTGGGAAACGACTTCACCTGATTAGAGGAGACCCTTCCTCTCTAATGGAAATGAACACTTTGGACTAGGTCAGTCAAGAACACTCCTAGATCTGAGCTGAATTCAACTCTCTCTACTGAGTAGTCACAATCCCGTTACACAGATTAGGACATCTGTGCAAAGCAGCAAGCACTCACCAGAGCGTAGGTTCTGAACACCATCAGATCAAGGCTACCTTTGCTGCTCTGAATTTTAAGGCTAGATCATCGAGTACCACACAGAACATGCAACAGTCTTTATGAGACAGGAAGACCAAGGCAGAAAAGCTCAAGACTTCCGCAGAAACACAACATTTAGGGGGAAAGGAATATCTGAATGCATTCCAGTCTCCGGGTTTCCAGTCCACCGGGTCTAGTAATGGTCTGTATGCTGCTGGGGTGCATGTGTCTTTTGGAATGGAGTGCCACTTGATGTAATTTGTAACATCTCAAATGTCTCCAAATCAAATCCATGTGAGCAGTAGTTTCAAGGATGCATACTTTTAGTGAGGAAAAAAGTTAAAAACTTAATTGATACTTAGGAATTACCACACACTGTAAAGGAGCATCAGCAAAGTGCTTGTTCAGTCAATTGCCTATAACGTGTAACTGTAACTGACTAAAAGGCACAACTGTGTATGTGACAGACCAAGTCCCAGTCCTCCTGGAATTCACATCCTGGTGGAGGACACAGACAAACAGATGACAATGCAGTGAGGAAATTTGGTTACCGTGGGGGGACACGATGCCATGGGAACAGGAAGCAGGGACACCTAACCCAGACTGCACTTTTCAAAGGGGGCAATGTGAAACATTAGAGGAACCAGAGAGTCAGGGAAGCAAAACTGAGAGTACTAGTGTTGCAGGAAGTAGGAGCAGCATTTACAGAGGAGAGCAAGCAAAGGTCAGAGAGCTTGCACTATGGGAGAAACAAGGACCAAGTCAGACAGGCCCCAAGACAGGGCTTCACAATCCCGTCCATCAGAATACCATGAACTTAAAACAAATAAACAAAACAGGTCTGGCTCCACGTCAGACAAAGCACAACAGAATCTAACACAACTTTAAATGCTACCTAGATTGTGCTGCCAGGACTGAAAAATATTGTTGCCAGCTTTAAAGGATCAGGCAAGGGATTGGGTTCTGATGATCCACCTCTGTGCAGGCCATAAACTGCACAGCAAGACCCCAGCTCAGTAACAGTGGTGGCAACCTCAAGCCTTCCCTTAAACAAATAAACCAAAACCAAGCAAACAAAAACCTGCAAGCAAACATGCTTAACATATTTACTATTGCAAATTTAAAAAAGAAAAGATGATCTTAATTAAACCTCTTTGGGCCCTGTTTCCCAGTTCTATTAAATGAGCAATGACCCGGAGAAGATTAGAGTCTAGTCTGGGTGAAAGAAGTCAGAAAATGGTTGTTTGGTCAATGAATCTGTGTCTCTTGCCACCTGTTTGGCCTCAGATTAGAGTATCATTTCCTAGGGAGACTGATGTTGCTCGGCCTAAATAGGACAGGTAAAATAACTTAAGAGAAATCAGACCTTCTAAAAATCCTACTTGACTATACCTTACAGGATGAGCTAGGAATGATACTCTGAGATTTCTCAAGTTGGATCTTAAGTATTTTTGTGCAAGGGAAATCTTTCATGATGCTTCATAAACACTTCATTTAAAGATTTCCCCACTTTGGAACTCGAGACACAGAACAGTAAAATAGAGAGAATTGATCCTTTTAATGCCACTCAAGCTGCTAAAGAGATCAAATAGGATTAAGTTCGCTCTCTTCAAATAAACAGACCAACAGGGCAAATGCTCTGTACAGGACTGCAACTGTTTAAAATCTCCCTTCGGTGAAGCAAACAGTAAGCTGCCTTTAAAAAGTTATCATCGCCTACTGTGTATGAGTATTCTCTTTCTAAATTTAGACGGTTTTCGAAGGCAGTACTGACTGGGGATAGAGGACCTTATGGCAGGAAGGAAGCTAGGCCTCTAGGGCCCGCAGGTGCTGTTACCAGTCTTCCACAGAAAGCGCCCTCCTGAGAATACACTCACAACTTCACCGCTTCCCTTAGCTATCTAATGACACTTCTTTAATACTACATCCAATTTGCCTAAAATTTTGAAACTCTTAGATAAAGACAGGGTTTTACTTTTATTTGCTGTTCATTGTTAACTCCTTCCACTTGAAAGGCTTGCTTTATGCTCGGTTATCAATAAAACCGCAACATTTGTTACTTTATTTCTCTCCTGGTGATTACTATTCTGATGTGCTACCACCATTTGTTTCAATCACTCGTCCTGTGATTTTTTTTTAAAGTGGGAAAGCGCTATTTTGAAAAACGTACAGTTAAAATAAAAGGTTTGGGTACTTACATATTTATTATTGCCTCCTTTAAAAAGTCCCAAAACACGACATGAAAAACTAAAATCAACAAAAAACCCCAAACTCAAAAAAAAAAAAAAAACCCACACATCAACACCAACCGTACCCTTCAGATAATTTCGACTGATGACACTGCAGAACAGTTAATCTGATAATTAAAAATTTCCAGAACACGTGATGTTTAGACCGTGATCTACGCTGTCAACCAGAACCCAACGCTTTAGTTTAAAACAAAAATACCTTACAACTTGAATAGAGACACGTTAACAAATTCTTGAACCGCCATTGCAAAGGGAGCTCACTAATCAAAACATCGTGTTTGATTCATCCAAATTAATTCAGCAACACAGTATCTTTTATTTTTATTTCTCTGGCCCAGGACTTTTTATCCAATGCACCATCAAACGTACAGATTCCACAGCACACGATGTCAACAAATACCAAGAAAGGCTAGCCTCCGATGTGGTCCAAAGTGGTTCAAAAGTTGCAGTGGCAACGACCAGACCTGAGCTACCTGGGCTCCTCCCAAGCCGGTTTCCCCAGGGTCCTGGGAGCCCACGCCCCGCGTGTGCACAAAGGCGCAGTGGAGGTACGAGCTTCGGGCTGCAGTCGGCTCGGTTCCCCACAGACGCAGACTGCACAAGCCCTCGGCTCGTCCTCCGTATCTACCCACGTACGGCGGGGACTGACACCGTCCGGGAGCGGCGGCCGAGGCCGTCCGGTCCCCGGAGCGCAGGGGAGGTACAGGGAAGAAGAGGCGCGCCCGCGAGCCGACACCCCGATCCGGGAGGAAAGGCCCGGCAGGAGTGCGGGCGGCGCGGCTAGGCGACACCCGAGTCCGGGGCGTGCGGCCCTTGCGTGCCCTTCCCGGCCGCCCCGCCACCGCGCCAAGGAGGAGGACCGGGCGGAGGCCAGCTACGACGATAAGGGCCGGGAGCCCGCCCGCCCGGAGCCCGCCCGGAGCCCGCCCTCCCCGCCATCTACTCACGCTCCGGCTCCTCCAGGCTGCGCGGCTCCCGCCGCATCGGGTCCCGGCCCCGCGGGCGGCGGCGGCGGCAGCGCCGAGGGAGAGGACAGCGGGCGGCGCGGCGCCCGCCTCCCGGGCCCTCTCCCCCGCCGCTGCGGAGCGGCCCGGCCGGGCCCGAGCGCTGCCTCGCCGGCCGCCCCAGCCCCAGCCTCGGCCGCCGCGGCACCGGAACTGCCGCTCGCTCGGCTGGCTCGCTCCACTCGGCGCCGGCCCCGCCGCACGCCCCCACCCCCGGCTCTGCTCGCCGGCGCCCGGGCTCTTTTTCCTTTTGTTTCCAGAATAAACTTTATTGGTCTCTCTTTCCGCTCACATCGTGTAAACAAACAACGAACTCTTCCCCACCCCCTCGCTCCCCCCTCCTGGGGCAGAGGAGGCTGAGAGCTGAGGAGGGGCCGAACTTGCAACGCCCCGGAAATACATCTACCAGAGACCGGAAGTGGGGAAAAGAAGAGGCCGGGCGATGGGCAAGTTCGGAAACAGTGACTCACTGCGCCTGCGCCCTGCTCTTCCGCCCCGAGTGGCAGTGCGACTCAGCGCTGCGGTAGCTGGGCTGTGGTGTCATCCTGGGACAGCGGACGTGTCACGCCTGTTAGTTTCTTCCTGCGACGTTCTGTCTTGGGAGAAGCTGACAGAGAAGTTGGGAGCGAGGGACCCTAAAGAGAAAACGAAATGAGGGCATGGTTACTAATGCCAGATCGGATGGTGATTTTAGAAGTCCTTTACGATCACTGGTTTAAATTGTAACCCGTACGAACAGCCCTCTGCAGTCTTTTGACTCAGCTCCCAGAGACCTTTGACTGTGTCCCATCCCTATTTCTTGTATTCTAGCTATAGAAGATGTGTTATTTTTTTTCATTTTGAGGCTTCAAAAAAGTTATGCTGGCTTCAAGTTAGATTCAAGATGGTGATTTGGTACTGCGTAACGTGTCAATCTCTTTTGCTTTTACGAGTACTACTGTTCCACGGTATTCTGCGTTTCTCTCCCCCTACTGGTCTTTTATCACACCGAAAAGTCTGAGGTCCAGGATCTGAAGACAAGGCGAGTACTGCCTAGAAATGACACTCTAGAGGGGTTAACAGTCCAGCATAACATCCAAGCAACACCACCGCACATCCCAGCCCAGTCTTAGTGATTCATTCCTCCGTGTAGTCACACAGTTTCACTGGACTGGGTTTCTGTATTTCCTGTTTTCTTTCTTTTCCACCCGTAAGCGCTTGTTTAACCCCACATTCCAGAGAATCTCTGTTTCTAAATATTTAACTAGTCATTTCCAGCAGTTTCAGAACACCCTCACCCCGGAGCAAGGAGTTATATATAACTTCTGAGTTGCGTAGTCAATCCTGGAACCTTAAAGCAGCATTACCCAAACTGTGCTTTCTGGGCAACATTAATAGATAGTACTCGGTGGGGAAATTTTATCCAGGCAATGTTTTGCCTACTAAAATTTATTTTAAAAAGAAAATGCTAATTACATTATATGATATCATGTGTCACAGAAAATACCCATTGGGGTACTTAAGTGCATGGGCGATTTTACCTTGAAGCAAGTACTATTGGTTGTTCAATTCATACTTGGTTACTTTTGACTTAGCTGGTTACCACTGATGTTATAATGCTTACCTTGTTTTCAAAAATGTTGGTGAGTGTTATTTTATTCTGTTTTGTGTGTGTGTGTGTGTGTGAGCTAGGGCCCAAACAAGGGGCTTTATGTTTGCTAGGCAAGTCCTCTACCACAGAGTTACAGCCTCAGATCCTGCCTGCAGTGTTATTAAATGCTTCGAGTATATTAGACATCTGTGTGATAAAGTCATCATTCAAACACTGAAAGAAAAATGCCTTAAAAGAATTAAAGATTATTTGACTATAAAGAAAACAGAAATGAAATGCTTCAGAATTAAGTGATTTTATCATGAGCAACCTTTTATTAAAATTAATTCCTTTAAGTATTTATTTGTTTATTTTTGTATTAAGACAGGGTCTCACTATGAGCCCACGGGCTGGCCTTGGTCTCACCACAATCCCCTTGCTTCATCTTTCTGAGTATGAGATTATAGGCATGAAACACCATGCCTCATTAATAGCAAAGCATTCTGAAGTTGAAATGTTCGAAATGAAACTATTGTTCCATTCTAAAACACTGAAATTATGATCATAGTTACTTGCTTTCTGGACTTCATTGGAGGCAATGTATTAGTAGCTCCTGCTGGCCTTAAACATTTCTGTGGACGACTTTGAACCGATGATCATTTCGCTCCCACCTTCCAAGTGCGGGGTTGCAGGCGTGTGTGGTCATACTTCGCTGCCTTTGGATGTATTAGCATTAACGACAATGATGATTCACACGGGTCATGAACTTCACTGGGTTAGGAAACTCCTACGGAACTGTCGAGACTCACCTCTGGGTGTGTGGTGGCATTTCCTAAGACAAGTGGACCAGGAAGGCTCCGACCAAACCAATGGATTAATCCCTTGATAGATTCAGAGTCTAGTAACAATGTTGGGAGGTGGAGAAAGGGAAGCAATGGGGCTCAGTGGAAGAAAGCAGTTCATGGGGATTAGGGGAAGGATCTCTCTTGTCTGGGTCTCTTCCTATATTTTTCTCTCGGCTTTGTGCTCCCAAGAAGTGAAAAACAGGCTCGGCTACACTCCCACTTCCACGATGGTCTACCCACTTCCACGATGGTCTACCCAGGTCCACAGGAAAGCTACAATAAGCCAATTCATTTGCAGCTATAAGTTATCATTTGGTGCTGTGGGGACATGGTGCACCCACTGAGTGAATGTTCTCGAAGGTGATACTGTGCCATGTCCCTCAAAGCTGGATCCTGGAAACCTGAGGAGGAGCAACAGGAGATGAAGAAAGACAGGCATGAGCAACATAAATCTGGGATCACTGTGAGTGCTTGAATGGAGATACATTGGTGTTGCGGGATATTTGTACACTGTGTGACGATGTATTGCTATGATTGGTGTAATAAAGAGTTGAATGGCCAATAGCTAGGCAAGAGAGGATAGGCAGGACTTCCAGGCAGTGAGAGGAACTCTGGGAAGATGAAAGGCAGAGTTGACAGTGAAATGCAAGCCAAGCAAGACATGCAGTACAGAGATGAGGTAATGAGCTACGTGGCAGAACGCAGATTAAAAAGTATGGGCTAGGGCTGGAGAGATGGCTCAGAGGTTAAGAGCATTGCCTGCTCTTCCAAAGGTCCTGAGTTCAATTCCCAGCAACCACATGGTGGCTCACAACCATCTGTAGTGGGGTCTGGTGCCCTCTTCTGGCCTGCAGGCATACATACAGACAGAATATTGTATACATAATAAATAAATATTTTTTAAAAATATAGGGTTAATTCAAGGTATAAGAACTAGTTATATCAAGCCTAAACTAGGGCCAAGTTTTCATAATTAATAAGTCTCTGTATCATTATTTGAGGATTGATGGTCCCAACAAGAAAGCCTGCTACACACTAGCCACCCAGATATTCAGGGAGTTTATTATAAACAATGTGAATGAGGAGACAGGTCTCTGCAAGGGAGGAGTCTCAGGGTGTGGGATCACGCAGAAGAAGAAGCTGCAGTTGGTACTCTGTACTCTTGTCAGGACTGTTTTTAGTTAAAGATCAACCTTTGGTCAGCATCTGTACTCAGTCCAGGGAAATACCTTGCATTCTACTGAGCCTGACTGGACGCGGGCCTTGCCATTTCCATGACTCTCAGGCATTGGCATCCTTGACATGCCAGGCTCATGTCACAAATGCTCGTTCCCACAGGCTCCCCACAACACATCCACTCCTCACAACCCTGGGACTTTGGTAGATTTTGATCTCTGCTTCAAGAATGCTGTGAAGTAAGCACCCTCTTCTGCCCTCTGCTTCCTACACAAGAAGGGCTCAAAACAGCATGATCAAACAGCCATGGACCAAAACTTCAGAAACCATCAACCAAGGTAAACCTTTGAAGTTGTTTACCTTGGTTTAATTTTTAACATTTACATATCTATTAACATAAAAGGAGACTATGCATATGCCATGGGTGGCTATGGAGGTCAGAGAACAACTCAGAGTGGAATCTTTCTTTGTACCTTGTGGTTCTCAGGGTTTGAATTCAAGTTGTGAGGCCTGGGGATAGGTGCCTTTACCTGCTGAGCCACCTTGCTGGCCCCTGATATGTGAAACTAGTCTTGGGGGAATGTTAACAAATGTCTATTCATCTCAAAGAGGGAACTGACAACATGCCAAAAGTAAAGTCCAACTTGGTGAGTCTATAGTTTTATTGGGGTTCCTTACAAGAATGTGGGTGAGGGGTTACTTACAGGAGCAGAAATCAATCAAAGACAGCTGCATCACCAAAGCCCACCCCAGCATGGGTGACAACTCACAAAAGCTGGGAACCCAGAGCACACAGCACAGCCTGCAGGAAGCAACTCAAGAAGTTGGAGACTGTCCTTTCCAGGCAGCTCAGCTGGTCTTTGTTTCTTCTGGGCAGTCAGGCTGGTCTCTACTCATTCTACAAGGTATCTCTCAGAGTCATCCTTGTAGGTTGGCTTATCTGTAAGTCTTTACTGTTTATATACTCTTAGTAAAGGAGGGCCCTAGAAAATACAGTCAGTTTCAGGGACTTCCTGAGCTATTTTGAGTTGTTTACTTTCTGTCTTAATGGAACTTCCTTGCAGAATGCAGTGTCTTGCCTGCCCCAGAACATTCCATTGTTTCACTTTTTTGTAAACATCCTATCCTAAAATAGCATGTTGTTTCATTTTTCCCTGTATACCCTTCATATGTCCTAAGATTTCCTCTAATATGGAAGGTTTTAATCTGAAGGAAATGGCTGCACAACAGTTCCTACTTTGGTATTTTCTTTTTAAACACTGATGGAAAGCATCTAATCTCATGGGAATTTATTCAGAATTGCATTACAACTATGAGCTAATTTTGGGAAACTGGCATCTTTGAAATATTGTCTTCATTTTACGAAATTTCCATTTATTCACATATTCTTCTATGTATCTGAGCATATTACTGAGGCTCTTCAAATAGATATGGAATATTTCCTGAAATCTTATGGCTAGATATTTTATTACTTTGATTATATTATTTTGATTGCGCAGAAATCAGATTCCTATTCTATCTCCATCAGTTACATTTTATCTAAATACAAAATAAAAGTTGTAAACAATGTTGAATGTTTTGTTTGTTTTGAGACAAGGGTCCCATCATGTAACACAGACTTGCCTTGAACTAGAGCGTCTACTTATCCTGTACAGAGCTGTGTTAAAAGAATTTATTTCAAAGTCCAATCTGAATCTATTAATGATATATTTGCCTTGTGTTATCACTTTAATGAACTCCTG